TATTGGGAGAAGGATCTTTATGCTACTTTTTCAAAACATATTCCATAAAAGTAACTGTGATTAGGTAGGAGGGGTATAATAAAAAATAAATAAAAAGCGAAGACACATCAAAAATATTTATATCAAAGTGCTAAACAATATAAACGATTAAAAACTTTTTCGTATATTTGTAACAAAATTTCATTCCTGATTCAACCTCTCAATTATATAATACATGCTTTGAATTAAAATTGTTATCATAATATTAAAAGTATAAAGTTAAGTTCCCAGGTTCGAGTACGAGTTCCTGAAAATATCTATTATCATTATTGATGCATAAATATAATTTTCTATTCAATTTTCAATCTTTATCGAATCCCTAAAATCGAAATCATAGTTCATGCAATTGCTTAGCCTTAAGTTATAAATTAATAATAGTAAATGTTTTATGCAACATCATATGAAAGGATAACCTAACATGATTACTTTATTGCCTTATATTAAAATACAATTCTTTAAAAAAATTATATTAAATATAATTTTACACTTATCTTGTTTATAGTTATCATGGGTATGTATTATTTTGAACGTATGATCCAAATTTTTTATGCCAAAAGTGTATTTAAAGGTGGAGCTGAGAAATTAAGAAAAAAAAATGCTGCTGGTCTCAAAGTATCAGGTGCTGATCCACAACAACTTAAATTATCTTTCTTTTTCTAATACTATTACTTCATGTAAAAAAACTATCTTCTTAGGAATATCCACAACTGCCTCCCATTCACATCTACCTGAAACAACTATATTGTCTGCAACATCTTCATTTATTATTGCATCAGTTCAATCATTGCCACATCCAAAAACTATATTATCCATTATTACAGCAGATAAATCATTCAATACCCTAATAATACATTATCTACAATTACAGCAATCCCATCTTTATTATCCTCGCACTTATCAGAAGCAACTACATTAATAATGGCTTCAGATATATAACAAAGGGATTATTGATATCGGAAACAATTTAATTATGTATAGAAATATTAACGTCACACTCATCTGTAACAATTTCATCATCTATTCCTTTAAAGAACTCCTTGCCACAAATCGATTCAGGAGATCATACAGTATCTCCTTCAGAATTGAATATGCATACACGTGAAAATTTTAAGTTGCAATTAACAGCTACTATATCTCAAAAACTAACATTTTTAATGCAACATCCTTTACAATACAACCAATAAATAGTAAATATGATAAATTATATTATCGAATGATAATGAGTGAAAAAATACCTAGAATGGATTACAATAAAACCAATATGCAATACAAAGCTGTGTACTGCTCAATCTGCCTGGCATTTGCTTTATGCGAAAATATTTTCACAATAGGCTTAATAAATTTTCAACATATGTATTCAGTATGAAAATTCAAGTGTACATTTAATTGCAGTTGAGGCCTATCTCTGAGCATCAAAAAACAAGCCATTTGATAATTCATTTAGTGTTAAAATATTGAATGAAAGAAATCGACAAATTTATAACAATGTCCATATAATAAAACAAATATTCTAGATAATAAAGTTTTCAGACAAACAAAACTTACCCTACAGAGCGCTAAATGCTACTGAAACATTTAGACACTTTGAAAATGAAAATTTGAATGGGGATTTCCTGGAAATGATGATTCATATTATATCAAAGATTGATCAAATCCTCAGAGATCTCTTTAGAAAAGAAAAGCATAAAATTTCTGAAAAATCAAAATCGAAGGGAAGAGGTTCTCCCATAATCTTGTTGTCAAATACAACTGTTAACAAAATTATTGATGTTGTTCTTGGTCAAATCAGGAATTTAATAAAAAGGAGATTGGTAACAAACGGTTTAGTTTGCAAATGGATAGTACTCAAGACATTAGCGTTTATGATCAAGCAACCATTTTCCTACGATACACATATAATGGCAAAATGGCTTTTCGCACTTACAAAAGATACAAATTCATCTGGAAAAGGATTTTTTGATATCTTGAGTGAATGCTTTTTAAAACATGGAATACAAAAGAAAATATAATTGGAGGGGTTAATATGTTGGGTTGCAACTCCAGATAGTATTTATATTTGGTGTTAACGATATTAAATCGCTGTATATGTGATTCATGCGATAATATGGCAAAATTTTATTTGGATTATTGAACAGACTAGCAACTTTCTTTAGGGAGTCACATAAAAGGATGGATGCTTGAGTGGAACAGAATAATTTATCTGGCCAAACTAAGTTGAGAAGTCTGCAAAAAATAGGTGAGACAAGCTGGTGGGCACGTGAAAATAGATGGATATATGGGAGAGCTTGCTCCCAATAACGATAAGTGCACTTCAATTTATAATAGGTAATAAATCATTTGAGGCAAAAACCACATTAGAAGAGCAGTCATTGATCGCTGATTTATGTAAATTTATGACCCTTAGTACAGCAATAATATATTTTCAAATTTTTAAAATAATGGGGCCACTGTCATTACATTTTTCAACTAAAAATTTAGATATGTCAGCATGGAAAATGATAGAAGATGCTAAGTCTTCTCTATCATCAATAACTAACACATCGATTCAAAATAACTCAATAAAAATGGCTTTTAATTTAAATGAAATACTTTCATATTTCAAGCTCCCGGAGAGTATCTGGGCACAGATTGCTCTGCCAAAATATCGAATAGGAACAGCGAAGAGAATATATAAGTGAAAAAGGCCAAGATGAACGTCCTCAAGTAGCGATTGACCTTTATAGGGTCGAAGTATTTGGGCCTATAATTGATCAAATTATGGGCAGCTTGTCGGAACGGTTTTCTGCGCTTATTTTGAATGAGCAATATTCGCATCCAAGGCATTTTGATGAAATAAATAGCAAAGGTATTTCTGAAATGGCATTGTACAAACTGTCACAATTGGCAAATATATTGAGTGTTAAATTACGTCACAAATTGTGTTAATTTACCAGTGTAATCAAAGATTTAATAGCAAATTAAATGAAACGGACGATGATATCATATCAAGTGAGGAGTCAAATGAAGATGGAATTTACAATATGATAATAATTCAGAGTGTGAGAATAAATGTAACAAGTTAATATGCGTGTATAAAATTCTTAAAAGATACAATATGCACACAAGTGCATACACTAATTTATTTTTGGCATATGAATACAATTTAATTTGTCATTTATGCAGGTTAATTGCGAGAGAACATTTAGTAAATTAAAAATAGGCTGAGAGCTAATAGAGGCCGAGATTAACAATGTAATAGGTGCCTGACTTTATAAGTGCAGCAATTTTATTCTCTGTGCAATACTGTATATTTGCAATGATTTTATGTGTAATTAATTGATTTTATATATTAAGTATTATTTTATATTTAACATGTGATTTATGATTTAATTTTATAGTGCAATATGGTTGTAAATCTAATATAAAATATATATGTGCAATGAATATTTTTTTATAAGTGGAAAATATGATTTTAGATGTGCAATTTTTTAAAATAAAATATGATTATCGTGTCATACAATTCTTTTTTTTTATTACAAATGTAAATCGTTTGAACTTATTTTCAAAAATAAGAAGTAATAAAAATCAAGTAATTCGAAGAAGCCATTTAAGGGAACCAAAAATGAGGCCTCTATAAAAAAAATGCCCACAAGGCCATAGTGTCGCCAGTTCTCCCCTGTTTTTTGTTCTCTACGAGTTTTTGATAAAATAAGTTATATATATTCTGATTGGCAGCATTGCCATAGCTAGATAACTTTATAAAAATAATTGTCTGCTATTATTTAAAAAAAATTATGGAATAAACACCTGTTGCCCAATTTTTTTTCCCAATGAATCGACCGAGCGGAACAACAGAAAAATTAAATACCTGATACAATGACATTAATTCATTCATCGCGTTGTTAAAATACAAATCAGCTGGTGGTATGCCATTTTGGTTTCTCATATAAGAATATCTATTTAAAGTATATTACATATTACATGGGGAAACCAAAATGGCGTTGCCACCATCAAAATTTTATTAATACACATTATTTAAATGAATGAATCGTCAGCATTATATGCCATTAAATTAGATATTCTGAAAAAAAACTCTTCTTATTTATTAGCTTAAAAAAGGTTTTTAAAGGTCATTCTTTTGGCAGGTGTTAGTATATATTCCCACATGTTATTTTTAAAAAGTAGGACGGCACTTGAAAAAAAATTAAATTTTATCATCGATACATTAAAACGCAAAGGAAGAAATAAATGTACACAATATATTTTATAATATAATAATATTTATTTTTCAAAAAAAAAATATTGCGATAATTTACATCTAACTAAAAAAAACACAATCTTTTAAAATATTATGTTCACAAAAAAAAAGGATAAATATATTTGTAAAATGAAAAATAATAAATATTACAATGTTATAAATAAATTTATATAAAACTTTCATGTTAATTTACTGTCTTTTTTTTATTATAATAATAGCTAAGTTCTGATTGTAATTTGTATCCGGGGTAGAACGGGATATGACAAAACTCGAAATGACAAGTCCAAAGGGCTCAAAAATATTGGGAAGAGTAAAATATGGGACATTGCGCTTGTAAACAAGAATAAATAAATAATCAATAATAAAAGCTTGGAAGCACGAAATAAAAGTAAAATACTTTTTTAGGGGAATATAAATTTTATTACAATGATTTTTGAAATGAAAAAGTGTCTAAAAAAGACACAAAAAACTTTAAGCATATAAAATGAACATCTTGAAAATGATTATTTGTTCTATCAAATTTCGATCGATAAATATAATTATCATTGTGTTAAAAGCAAATATTCTAAACAATGACAATTTAAACGATGATATTAGACAATTAAACAGCGATATTTCATTATTTAAGAATTCTCATTTATTTTTACAAGAAAATATAATGAGAAAAAAACGAAATATGAGAGAATAAAAAAAATTATTAAAATTTAATTATATAAAATGCCTATCAAATTATGCCCAAAAATTCATTAATTTTTTTGGAAGAGATTCAAATTTTTATATAATATTTTAAGGTTTACAAACAGAAATTATTTAATTTTCGGATATTTTTTTTAGTCATTTAGAATGCCCTTTTCTCAACCTATTATATTTGGTTATTAATAGTGGATCTTTTTTTTGTAAAAAGTAAAACGTGGAAGTGTGTGCTAAAATAGCAAAATCGTTAGGTATATGAATGCCTTAATTTAACGACGCGAATGGGTATTAAGAGGGGTATTTGGTTTTCCGAACTAATTCCGTTGCTGATTTTGGCGTTTTTTGTCGTAATCGGACTTGCTGCCGGGGCGTGGTTCTAGATCGAGGCAAAATGGGGAAGATTTTTGGAGGAAAGCCGGCTTTATCCTAAGAGCGGGTTTGATAAGCGGCAAGGAACCTATCGAAGAACTATTATCGCCAAAATCGACTTTTCGCTCGAATCCCTTTATGATTTGGGTAACAGGGGGAGGCAGGCTGTCGTCGATCAAGCTCGGGTCCGATGAGCTAAATTCTGAATATATATTTCCTTATATAATCGGTTTTCAAAATTTGGGCTAGAAATTGACTGTTTTTTAGGGCAGATTATTAGGTAAATTATTATTGAGATGCCAAGATTATGTAAAAATAATACCTTAAAATTTAACTTTAGCGGGAAATTTAGATAAGAATAAAGATTTTAACACATCTTAGATACCAAATTATTTATTTTTTTACACGTAAAAACTATAGGAAAGAAAAGAAAGAACCGAATCATTTTTTAAAAAAAAGTGCCAACCTATAATACTGCCCACTTTCGAGATAATTAATAAGATAAAACGATCTAAAAAAATACTAATAATTTCACTCACCCTTATCACTCTGGAGGCCGTATCTTTCCTTATTTGAGTTCGCCTTAATGTTGTAATAAGAGGTCGTGTCTTCGCTGTTAAGGTTATGTTTATCGCGAGGTTTAGCCTTAGGGGACGGCAAATTTTCTTGGCCCATTTTACGGGGAAGGTCGCTAACCAAATCGGGAAACCCGCTTAATAGGACATTGAAATTGTCGGGCTTGTGTCTTGTATCGGCGAAGAGAGGAGACGAAGATAACCGGTGGTTAATTTTATGGATATCGACTTTATTAATATTAGCGTCACCTTTGTAATCGTTGATATCGAAAATTTGGGTTTCGCTATTCGAAAAATCTGAGGCATTTCGAGATGTGGAATCAGTGTTGTCTATCCTGTGTCGGTAATCCAAGTATGCCGTGGTAGTGCGAAGTTTGCTGGATAGGGCGCTAGTTGGGTCGTTGAGTCGGGCTATTAGTACGATTATATTTATATAAATAATGCCGTTATCTTTCGATATTTATTCTATAATTATTATATGATTTTAGAGAGGTATTCAATCTTAACGGATAAAAAAAATATGTCTCTCTAGCTTTGAAGGGAAAATTTCATTGCAAGTTGTGTGAGAAGTTGTATGATAGACATGGGAAATTAAAGCCATAAGCGAAGACAAATTGGAAAGAAGAGTTAATAATGATTAGATGGATATTATGGGGCGGCTCTGAGAGAGAAAGAAAAGGGATTGGGATAGAAGCAAAAGGTTATGTCGTGAGGGAAAAATAATCTGAGATGGTTTGGATATGTTGAACGAAAGGCAAAGGCCGATTGGTTGAATAGATGCCGTTGGCTGTAAGTGGAAGATAATCACATAAAATTAGTGCAACGGAAAAAGAGAATTGAAAGGGAAAATGGCCTACCCAGGTAAACCTGGAAAGGGTCACTAAAAAGAAGAATAACACTGCGAGCTATACATTTGTGAGGTATTAAATCCATCCAATACATTAATATCGAAAAAAAATTGTGATCTGCAAGGCCCATGGTATGGTTTAGTAAAAGATCAGGGATAATGTCTAAAGTAGAAAAAGGTAATGAAGAGATATGGAAACAAAAAAACTGAATAAAAATCACTGGGTCTATATAATCCCAAATCACTGGGTCGAACCTGAGTTCAGGAAATTTTCTACCAAATTCAAATTTTTTTAGGACATTAATTTTTCAACCCGCATCTATACCAGGCACAAAAATGTTGTCTTTATAATTAATCTGTCGATGCGGTAGCTAAGATGATCCCGATGATTCAAGAAAGACATTTCTTTATAATTACTTTATTAAATCATAATTGAGGGGAGAGAATAAATTCCATTCCAAATCAATCACGATTCGGCCAACCTCTTTTAAATTTGCCAAAACATCTGGAATTATTTTCTTAAGGTTTGAGATATATGCATTTAAAAAACTTTATAAATTCGAAAGTCAATATTTGTCGCACCTATGAGGCCCTGTTTCTCGGAAACCAAGTGTGCTGAGAGAGATAAATTTAACGGTTTACTCATTTTTTTCATATAATTTAAATAATTCCAGAAATTTTTAACAATTTTAAAAAGGGGTCGGCCGAAAATGTGCCTTATTTGATCGATTTGGCATGAAATGTCCCGTAGTTATCACAGGGTTTCACAAAGATAATAGAGATTTTTGGTTCAGGAGTATTTATCGCCTGAACGACACACAATTACCTTTAGACTTAAAGGGAAGACAATTCCATATAATACCAGATTTTGTTATTAATATTTTTTTTAAAAACCAGGAGGCAAAAATTTACACATGTTGGGGTTGTACTTGCAGGCGCATTTTTTTTGGCTATCTTGATGTATCTCGCAAAAAAACACTTAGATTATGGTATTATCTGCATGTAATCTGCGGTAAACTTTTAGATAATAATTTGTTTTTTTATATCCCTAACATGGCAAAAAGCGTATTGAGAAACATATGAACCTAACTTTAATAAGTCTCTTGATGAACCTTAAAAAAGGAAGCATGGTTCCATCCAAACAGTCATTAAATTTAGCAATCGAAATTATGAAAAGATTCTTTGAGAGATGGGAGATTATACTGATTTCATGGTCGCAAATAAAAATGATTGTTTTTCAATAAAATGTTTTGGTCGAAGAAAAACGAGACAATGACTATAGGAGAATTGAACATGATAATAAAAAGATGTGAATGTTGTCTAAAAATACTGAAAAGCGTATTGAAGATCTTCAGCAATTGTACAATGCAATTTATACGATAAATAACCAACTTCAAAAGATTCTGAAAGAGTCTTCTCAGTGTTTGAAATTTGTCCAAATTATCGGATGAAACACTAAATTCACTATAATCAAAATAATATATGGGTGAATTTACCTATAAATGTGTAAATAAATTAAAACCAAATAATTTAAGTGCAAAAATTAATGTTGTTAATGCTAAAGGGGTGGGGAGGAGGGGGGGGGGGGGTTGCAACTGCCAAGGGTGCAATTGATGGGGGGGGGGCTCGCAGAGATGCTATGGATGTCATGAAAGGGACACCTTCAATATAAATGTCCCAGAAATAGACGGGAAAACAATGATCGAGATGACGAAGATCTGCTATTCGGGTTACTCCCTAAGCTGGGGAGTCAGAATGAAGGAATACCTGACAGAGTCGTCAAAAAACAACAAAATAAATGCTTAGCAAGGTAAAAGAATATATAAGTAAAAACTTGTATATTTTCTTAAAACGGGAATTGATTTACTAAAAAATTTCTATAGCAAACCTGATTTTAAAATTTTTTTTCTCAAATTAAACCCCGACCAAAATTATGAGTGGGTACGAAACCCTGATAAAAATAATCATATATCCTTTAAAAATACTTTCGATATTTGAAAATTCTTGGATTTCATCGTCATCTATATCCCGTATAACGGGCGGGCTATCGGAAGAACCATCATAAGGAAGCCAATAATCACCAACAGGTTTAACTTGTTTTTTAAAGCCAAGTTCGGGACTAAACGGCCGTTTTTCGGGGAAAGGATAATTGGATGCCGGTTTTAGGCTCTTGTACAGGGATTTAAGGAGAGGAGGGGAGTGGTGGGGTGTGATCCTGCGACTGGTCAAATTTGGCGTAGGGTTGGAATATTCGCTATCCGATAAGTAGTAACCTCGCAACGCAGGAGCAATTTCGGTTACCATATTTCTTTTGTCATGTTTTTTTATCGTATCGAGAGTGTGATTATGTTTGTCGGTTTGACCGTAGGGTAACGTTGTAGATCGTTGAGAAGGGGAAGAGAAAGAATCGCTTTTCTTTGCTAGCAACGTTGAAGAGTCATTGTAACGTGCTAAGCTCTTAGAACTCTTGAGGGTTTCCTTGAGGGATGTCCCGAGTTTCGTTATTTTATTGGGCCGCTTGACAGGGTTTTGTTTGAGGGTCAAGGGAGGCGAGGGAGGGGCATTTTTAGGAGGACCGGCGGGAATTGAAATGATGCTTTGGATAGGGAAAGGAGCCGGAGGGTTCGACACGTTGGTATCGCTATTTGCGCGGGATTTGTAAACTCTAGACGAAGTCAAGGTGTTTCTGGTGTTAAATGTTTTTCAATAATTGTTTATCGATTCTTAAATTATTAGGGTTGGTAAATAGGCAATAAGAAAAAATCTGAAACTATGAGGCATGAAGAATCGAGTAATAAAATTATGGCATGTCAGTGAACTAACCTATGTTCACCGGTTTCCCCACGTTTGATTTTGGTATCGGTATCCACGCTAACGAGAGACAGAAATCGATGAGGGGCTAGGCCTTCCTTCTTGATAATATCCGTTTTATTACCAGTTTTGACTAAACTAACTTTCCACCAATCTGGACTAATTTTGTAAAGCGGCCTCAAGATGTCCCCTTTCTCGAAAGAAATTTCGCTGGAGTTTCGGGCTTTGAAATTGAACCGGGCCACAGCTAATTGGCTCGCTTATATTATTTTTTAAAAGAAAAATATATACATTAGGCTATTAAAAAAAATCCAGCCAGAGAGCGTGCGCTGTAGGACCTACTCTCCCCCTTTTTTAGTGAGACCAACAATCAAAGTCAGACAGTTTAAACATATGTTATTAAATATTAATTGCGAAAACTAGATGTAAATAATAAAGTATACAAGCATTCATGTTTTAAATTTTACCCGAGTTATGGCGGCCGGTAGAATCGTCTTTGCTGAGAATATCGACACCGTCCTTATGATTCTCGGAAATATCGGCGGCGGCGATGCAAGAATTTGCGGTCGAGGTTCCCAGAAAGGAGAATGATGAACGCCTTCTCCTGCCTTCGCCTATGAAGCTAGATTTCTTTCTGTTGCCTTTTTTTGAGTACCAAGAAATAGCGTTTATTTAAAAAATAATTGATTTTTAAATATATTATATATTGAAATAACTTTGGATAAAATTATGGTCTCTCCTAGTAATTGTGCTATATATAGTGGGATGGATAAACTTAACAACATAAAATGTTCAGAACCGCTTCACAACCCGAAAAATCAAAAAAATTGGCCGGACCGTTTTATCCAAGATTTGTGTAGTAAATAAAATGATTTTTTTCCGGATTGTATTTTATAGAATCAGACCAATTCAGTCTTTTTTTAAATATCGGTTATCTATCAAATTTTCCTATCGGATCCGATAAAATTGCGTCTCATTTAAATTTATTAATATAAGAAAATATATTTAAGTCTTCTTAAATAATTGAAATGATAATTTAAAAAAAAAAACTAAATACATAAATTTATTTTATTTTTATTTGAATGTTGATTATGATTATTGATAAAAAAAATATATTATAGCGATTTTTATTCTATAAATAAAATGAATTATCAATATTTATTATATACCTTTACTGATAAATATAAGTGAAAAAAATATGCCTATAATGTTAAGTTAATTAAAATTTGATAAGGAGGGTAAGTTTCTTTTATATGACTTATCTTATAGTTTAATAAAAATTAAAATATATCAATTATGTTTAAACGAACAAAATCAGATTAGTGATATCGGATCGGTAATCGGCCCGGACTGTGATCTTCACTAGATGACGTAGTTATATCGAACTGGGTAGTATTTACATTTGATAACAATTATAAATTAAGGATTTGTTATTTTATAACGTCGTTTTCAAATTGACCCAACGATGAAACACCTTTTTTTCACGAATTAAAAATGGATTTTGAAAGACGCACGTTTTTTTTTGATTTCGGTAACGGTTAAATTTTCTTAGGTAAATAAAAAAAAATAAAAAAGAATGTGAAATCCACTGACGTTGTATATTTTTTATAGCTAATATTTCGTGACCATAATTAACTTAAATTGGAGAAGTTTTTATTTAATTTCCTTTATTAAAAATTTAGGATAGAATCTAAAAATAAATATATATATATATTTCTAAGGTATTATAGCCCAACATCTTTAGATTATTAAATTTTATATTTCAACATTTTAATTGTAAAAAAATGGGGATATACAAAAGTATAATAATAAGCTGATTACAATTTAAAAAAATATATTAGAAACCTTCTTCCTCGCTGATATCATTTACATCTTCGTGAGAAGGAGAACGTGGTGGTGACTCATCAGAAGAGTTATCTTCCGAAATGGAAAAGGATTCTCTCGCTCCCAGTTTCAGATCCGTATCGTCTAAAAGTCCTTGGAATATAAAAAAATTAAACATATTTCAACTATAATTTCCAGTGCTTTTAATATATAATATTTTAAAAACAAATAAAACTCTACTCTTATATTGTAAGGTTTATAAAGATATTAATTACTGAAAATCATATAATTTTAATGATGCACCGATAAGAGTAGGGACTTCTACACCCCCACTAAGCAAATGACAATTTTAGTCCCCTGAAAAATTTTACCAACTACCACACTCTTTCTTAAATTTACCCACCCATCTTCTCACCACCAAATGAGTAAAAACGGAAATAAAAATCAGTCCTACCACCCTCCAATCTAAAAGACGGTCTGGCGTCACCCCCTCTTCCTTGATAGAAGTCCATGGATTCCAGTGGCCGATACAGGAAATAGTAATTAATCCTTATTTTTTCAAAACGACCTATATTAGGTCATGCAGTGTTTGTTAAAGAACTAAATTTAGTTATAGAACGAGAACTGGAGCCAAATTTTGGGTCAAAAGTAATCGAGCCAAAAACTGACTCGAGTTGCAAACTCAGTTCCTAAGCTCAAGTTATGAGCTCGAGTCGTGAATTAATCTTGAACTCAGGGTGAGCCCGTGTTCTATACATTCGGTTGGTGTATAATTAATTAAAATTAATAATAAGGTTCACATTAGAGGTCTGCAATGAACGGGGTTTAACCTGAACGCCCCCCCCCCGTAAAACAGGCAAGCGGGCTAAAAACCCACTCATTGCAGACCTCTAGTTAACATAAACTCATAGTTTACTTCCGGACATTCTACAAATAAAATCTCACCCCTTAATTCTTTTTTTTTCTTGTATATAAATTTTGTCCTGCTTTTTTGGCAATAAAGTTAATATCAGCTACTATTAAAACTTACATTACTCTCGTAAAAAAACATGACAGGGGATTGGTAACAAGAAAAAAGAAATTTGGTGTTAGCGGGGAATAATATTTATTTGTTATATTTATAAATTAAATATTATTTTATAATATGAAATTAATAAAAATGAAGGTTTTATATATGTGTTTTTTATTTTAATGATAAAATAAAAAAATAATATTCTTACCTATACATAATTCGAATGTAGGTTTGAATACAAAAGTTTTCAAACCGTTTTTTAGAGGTTCGAACCAAACCGATATTTTTATTTTTTATGAACCGAACCTGAACCGATATTCGTTTGAATCCCAGGCAAAGAGCCTAAATATTTGGACTCACCAAATACAACACTTTATTCACCTATAAGAAAAATTTTATCAAAATCGATGGCCGCGTGTGATTGATTTGCTATGGAATCCCTTTGGGGTCGTATAGACCCCACGAAAGTACCAAAACTGAAAGATTAAGGGGAAATAGTCAACTTGGAATATCTAATAGTCTAGGTTGTGAACTGATGCCCTCCCCTCTTTATTACATTTAGATTATTGAGATATTTTTAGAAAAATTCTTCATTATCTAAATAAATCACTGATTTTACCAAGCTTGAGAAGCCCATTAAGATGCGTTCTTAATAAAATGGGAAAATGGCCTTAAAAAAGCTTATCCTGAGAAAAAAACGCTTTGATGAACTATTTAAATGCATCAACAAATAATTTAATATTTAATTACACCAGCATTTTATGCAATCTCTTTCAAAAAAAATCATATTTTAGACACCTGACATATTACAGAAAATATTTTAAAAGCTTAAGGGTCAGGGTTAGGAATTTTATAAATCAAGTGATAATGACTCGACTTCATAACCCGAGTTCGTAACTTAAGTTAGTCGATTAAATCGATTTACGACTATAGACTCTGAGTAGAAAGAACTAGATTATCTGACAACACTAAAGCCACGAATTGTAATGTTTAAAATTAAAAATTTGCATAAAAAATAAACTTTTATCTCGAGCAATTTCGAGTTCATCCTCGGTTCTTTCGAGGGACGCTTCCTTTTTGAGCTCTTGTTTATCCACCAAATCTAAATCTTCCAAGTAGTCCAAGTCAGTCGGATTGTTTTCTCCCTGAACCGGGTAGCGACAAAATTCGTCGTAAAATGGGCCTTCGTTCCTGTAGTAATTGTTAGAACCCCCAATGGCTTCAGTAATTTTTTTAAATTCAATATAAAGTTAAAAAGATAAGTGCCCATTGTTCAACTCCGCGGTCACCCTTATGCTAGTAAAATTTATCCAAGGGTAAAACGGTGGATTTAAGTTTGTCACAAATAATGCGTGGCGGATGTAGTGTTGTTAAAGGTCTCAATTAAGTTAATTTTAAATCAAGATTCTAGACAAAAATAAAATTATGCAAGCCTCGATATTTCGTTAATAAATGTCAAAACCATTCTGTGTCATCTATGAGCAAAATTTCCACTCGCGTAATAATTTTTGGATAAAATATTGGGTGATTGGCCAAATTAAGCATATAAAGTTATGGAGAATATATTATATAATCCAGCCCTTGGAATAATGAAATAAAAATAGACTGAGATGGTTTGGGCATGTCAAGCGAAAGACGATTTGGCAAAGAAAAAGTCGGTAGATGTGTAGCAAGGCCATTAAGAAACCCCGAGACTACTTGGATAAAAGTGATAACGGACGATATGGGAAAAATAGATCTCACAAATAGTGAGGGGCAGGACCGCAATGGAGAGTGGGCATCATAGGAAACTCGCTTACCCGGGTAAACTTGGCAAATTAATTTTAAATGGATATGAAGATACACTTTTGATAAAGATAATTTATAGATAAACAACCATCTTTTCTACGTGTCAGAATATCATAAAGATATATGTTATATGGCGTCTAGTTTCAACAAATAAAATTAAATATTTTTATTTTACATAATAACATGGAAAGTAAAAGTGGTTCTAATCGGTTAAAAAAAGAGAAGTTAATTGAGACTAAAAATGGTTAGAAAAGATAGGGGGGGGGGGTGAATCGAGTAGATTACATTTATGAACAAGAGATATATATACCGAAATCTTTTTTGATAACTTAGACAAAGTATACTTTCTGTTATATAACAAAACATTAGTTAATTCACCCTTGATTATTTCTTCCTCGTTATCTTCTATGTCCTCCTTATCACCACTTCCAACCTCTTTATCACCAGGTGCCCCTAGAATTATATCGCTGTCTCCGGACGCCTTTCCTCCTGTCGTCGCTTTACTAATTTGAGATGCGTAACTCAACTTGTTTACGGGGAAAATCTTTTGTTGACACATTATAATGACCCTTATGAGTTCGTTGACCCCGGCCTGGCATTGAACTTGATCCCTATCGGCTGGCACGGGAAGCAGAGTAGGGCCGAAACATACAGCCAAGTTGTAGGGATCCATCATATTCTCGTCGCTAAACTGGGATAGGTGGTGCAAAAACGCGAAAAGGTATCTGGTAGTCAGATAAACCGGACGAGCTAACGTGGCAATCAGGTCTCGAAGCTCGTACAAATAGTCGGCCGATGGACTAGGATACGTAATTGTTTCTAATATTTTATACATTAAAAATTAAGTTACGAGTAACGGGAATGCGGTATATTTGTTTAATCATTAACGTTTACAGTACTGATTTATAATAAAAATTTACTAGAGCCAGATGAAGAAGCTATCTTGGAACCTAAGGCGACTAATTGATCGAACATGCATATAGGAAAGAGCGGCTCTCTTAGCTCTCTAAAGTAGAGTTTAAGCACTCCCGCCACAGAATTCATGTCCCTACTATCTTTAATATCAACGAGTGGGTCTTCGCCTTAAAAAAAATTTAGAAAGAGAAATAATAAGTAAGTAAAGTGCTGTAAAATCTCCGTTACTTTAAACGCTATTAGTTTTAAAAAACAATTATTGTATTTCCTGAGTGTGGGTTGGGGCCAACTATTTAAAATCTTGAATTTAAATTTTACTTTTTTTTTAAAATATTCAATATGATATTTTTCCAAAATAATTAGAATTAACTCTAGTTTTAATATAAGAAAATGGCATTTTTTAACAACGTCATGGCACATCTTAATTTTATTTTTGGTTAACTTTTCTTTGTTTTAAATTCCGAAGAGCATTCTCTTTAGAAAAGCAAATAGAACACCGTATTTTCGATTTTTTTTAAAATGATAAATACATGGTATATTATCTACTTTCGTCTAAAAATCACATTCTATTCAGACAGCCAATTAGAATTCTAAATAAAAAAAAAGACTAGCTATGATGCAGCCTCTCTGTTTTTTTTAAATGAATTTTTTGGTAATTCATCTATATTAAAAAGTGAAATTTGTTTTACTTTTGCTATTTATAAAACACACTTTCTGTCTTAATTTTTAGCTTTTGATTTTGTGTTTTGTTTTACAATTGGTTCCCCCAGTCTCTTCATACAACTAATCTAATTTAAAAGGGACAATTCTTCTCGAAAACAATGTTTTATTTGGAGATTTTTTAATTTCTAATATAAAAAAACGAGTAAGGTGTAATTAAGGTTAGCTATGATCGTAAATTCGTTCACCTTTTTAATTGGTCCATTTAATAGCTGTAAATTAAGAATATTTCTTAAATCTTTATTAAAAAATTATTTGGTGAATGCATAAATAGAATAATTACCCGAAATGGACGAAAATACGATCAAAATCTTTAGATCAAAGAAGGCCCTCCCGTAATTAAATGTTATTAAGTTGTATTCATTTTATTTAAGGAAGAAAAAAAACCTCTTTCAAAAGCATTCTTGAACTCATTGATTTCCAATTGAGATCCGGACACTCGAAATATCCCTTGATGATGCAATCCTAAAATTTTGAAATATATATATTTTTTAAATATATAAAATAAATAAAGCTCAACGATGGTCCTATAGGCGGTTCTGAGAACCCCAAATTAAGTTTCAGAAATTTTAAATTGCTGTAGAAATAAGGATCAAACCGAGGTATTTAGGACTGGGCGGAAAGAGTTATTTAAATTTCGTGAAAGTTAATTTGAGTTTACAGGTCTTGTCTATAAAACCAACCCAAAACTAGGTCATGGAGAGACTTTGTATATACTAAGTATCGTAGTTCATATTTAGATCATCAACACTGACCTATTATAATGATGTTTCATTTATTAAAATGTATATTTTTTTAAAAGTGCACTTACATTGAAGTCAGCCATTAAAAGTGAATTAGATGAAATACCATTCAATGACGTCAACTACAGCTGACTTTAATGTATGCGAACCTTTAATAAACGAATCCGCCAGTATAGGTTAATGTGTTATTAGGATGCACCTAAACCACTTTTTTTCCCTGATAACTACTATATACAAAATATTGTTGAAAAAAATACAACAATCATTTAAACATATAATACGCGATAATATAGTTTATTTAAACTCCACGGTAAAATTAGAATAATTTTTTTAAACTATAGTAAAGAATGGTTTCTTTCTTCCTTTTTTAGAGCGACAGCCATACCTGTTATGTTCTGTGCCCGCTACGCAGGTACTACGAACGGGAGGGATCGATTACGATCGAGAGGTCGGGAATTTGGGCGGTGGGGACAAAAGGATCTGGTTTTGTCGGAATCTTAGCCATCGGGTTGCGAATCTAAAATGGCTTTTTTGTGTAACACAATCGGTGCATAGTTATAAGAAAATATGAGAATCCATTTCAAAATATTTAACCCGAAAAAACTATTGACAGTAATTTTGTAAAATGAAAATGTCTCTTTCGTAATTACGTTTTGGGGTATGGGATAAGTTTGACTACCACTTCGAGCAAGGGGAGAACATCAGAGAATAAGCAGAATCGCTAATAAACTTGAGCATGCAATTAAGGATCCAGAGATGACCTTTTCCCATATAGATGGCAATCGTTGGGAATGCGGAGCAATTAACCTCCGACAGCATGAGAAAATTAAGATAACAGAACCGTGGGAATGGCTGGAGCGGTTATATATAACAACCAGGTACATAAATTCCATAAATATATCATTCAATCTCCCAAATAAAATTCATATTCATAGTAACCATGTGACCGTAAGAATCAGAGAGGAATTCTATACACCCCCCCCCTCCTTATCTCAATTCCGTAATTATGAAAGAGATAACTTCTTTTAACAAAAATTAATATTAATAAATTTAAAATAAATATTTTGATGCAGATTTCTTTATTTTATTATAACTATGCATTAGATTGTGTTACACTAAAAACTATTTTAGATTAGCAACTGGTGACGAAGATTCCAACTAAACTGGTCTCCTTTGTCCCCACTCCCAAAATTCCTGGACCCTCCATAGTAGTCGACCCCTCTCTGCACTCCTGTTTGTGAAATCCGCACTGGGCACATCAAAAATATTTTTTTCAAAAAATTCCAATTCTTTTGAAAAGACCGAAAAAGTAATCAATTAGGGTTTAAATAAAGAGGGATACCATCCTTTTTTAAAAAAATTATATAAAATAAAAATGGTTTTAAAAATAAACACTAACAATTTTTAAACGTTATTTTGCAAGAAAAATATATAATATTATTTTAGGGCAATAATGGCATCGAAAAAGTGACGATATTGTTACAATAAGTAACGGGTCTATACCGATATTGCGTGTAATGCATCTCTGATTAGATATTTGTATTAAAAACGTCTTGTTGATTCATAAATTTGTTAACATTTTTCAAAATTTAAAATGATGAAGCTAGAATTAAAATCTATTTTATAAACGCGGTGTGGGCCGGTTTTTATATTCCTTCACTAAAGCATATTAGATAGGAGTGTCAAATTTCTACAAAAAAGAGAAGTAGCGGAGGACAATTTTTATCACTCTTCCAGGTGCTTATATTTGTTGATCCTAAAACTTTAAAACTAAACCCTAGTGGTTAGATCAAAATTGCCCCGCTTTTATGAAGAAATTATATATACCATTATATAAAATACATGATTATTCAGAAGTCGCTACCTAATTAAAATGTATGAGCGAACGGAGTATTTAAGCGTTAATTCTAATTAAAATTGAAATACTAGTAAGTTCTGATTAGAACCCAGTTTATTAAAATATTACCATATAAGTTGATGACCCTAATAGTACTAAGCATTATAAGTGGAATGTCTTGACCCGTGGCCTATGAGTATAAATATATATAATATATTATAAATAATGAATAAAAAATAAAATGTTCAAAGTTGATAAAAAAAAAATTGCTAAATTTCATTGGTTTATATATTTGAAATATCCGTAACAAATACCCTAATTTTAAGAAACTTTCATAAAATGCTTAAAAAGTGGAAGGATAGGGTTATTAAATTATGGAGTAATAAATGTTCTGATATAAGCATGGTACGCAAAATATATACCGTTAGATATTCTTCCAAGCTACCGCCAAACAATTTAGGCCTCTGTCCGGCTGGTATGACCTTTCCAGCTTGACCGATGACCCTTTTCTTTTTGGGCGTTTTGCCATGGGCCGAGGGGATCAGGGATGTAGTGAGCAGCGTGAATTTCTCGAAATTTCCCGAGCCACCCGAAAGTTTGTGCAGTTCCTGCAGGGCGGAATGAATCATGAGGAATTTAGCTTGAAGGCGAGCAATCAAATCACCGGTTAATAAATATTCCTTAAATTTCTGCACGGGAGTTAGGGATTAATAAAAATACAAGGTTGGTCGATGTAAAAAAATATGAACAATGTTTTCAAGGTTAATTAGAGAAAATAAAAAAACAGGACGATTCTAGTTTTCTCTCATTCATTAGTTTAGTTGTTGGGTAATGAATACATTTTTAGCCGATTCCAGAAACGGCCAAGATGAGTTTTTAGTTGAAAACTGTCATCTTACCCTCAGATTTTTCTGCTAAATCTTTTTTTAAAAAGCTGGAGGGGGGAGGGGATAACTCGTGTCTCGATGCTCATCTATAAAAAAATATTATGACACAAAACATTGAGCCGAATTAGTCGTTCTTAGGCCATTACCCAAGCTATACCTCTCAGTAATAAAGAATCTGAAAATATTATTTTATAATCAAAATATAATTTGACACATTATTTTTTTTTTCAAGTTTCTATGCGAACCAATTATTAGTCCGTGTCCTAGTTCGTCAAATTTTTAAACAGCAGTCCACTTAGCCGTCTATATCTTTCTTTAAACATTCTAAAAAACATAGGCTATTTAGATTTAAGTAGTGCCTTTGTGATTCTTGCCAATCCAAAATATTTATTTTATGCACACATACAAATCAAAATAGGGTTTCATAGCAAAATCTGCAGAACCAGGACATGACTTATTCTTAATTTTTTTAGTAGGAATCTAATGATTTATATACCTACCATCCTCCCATAGCTCAAGCATGAATTGAACATTTATGAATCCCCATAGAGAACCCTGATTAAAATTCAATGATTTTTTATCCCTTTATTCTTAAAAAAAATAATAAATAATAAGCCTAGCAAAAGTAATTATCTGACAAAAGTATTTTCTCAACGACGTTTTCCAAGGACCAATAATTTTAATAAAATATCATATAAAAAATATTTACATATTAAAGACAATATGGCATCACGCTTGCTCAAATTAAATATAGGGTGAGATGAGAACGCTTTTGGCCTCTCACGCCAGCGACAATGCTGCATTAAAATCCAGAAATCTGAAAAGGTACCTATTACACGGGGGCCTGGATTTAACCCGCCCTGTATTTTTTTTTCACAAAATCTTTTTGCCTGGTTAGAATTTTTACTTTCTGAACATTTCAGAATTTTTTTAAAAATTTCGCTTATTTTGAATAATTTTGGCTTTGTATATTTTTATAAATTATTCAAATGGAAATTGAAAAATACGAACAGCATTAATTTATGATCCCAACAATATTCTCATATTTTTTAAAAAAAATCTGCCCATCCCAAAATTTTGTAAAATTTTCTCATATTTTTAGGTCTGACGGGAGTTTATTTTACTAATATAATTTTCCCATATACCCGTATACCTCCCGGAAAAAAATATGAAATAATAAATTTTTTTAAAAAAACGTGAACCTTGATATAAAATTCCTCGACATCCTGTCTGTCAGTCTTATTCTTTATGATTGACGTGATATCACTTGAGGCTAACAGATCAGATGCCTCGATGGACGACAAAGAGGCCAAATTTGAAGCGGCAGAAAAGGAAGATTTAATCCCGTTTGCATGAACCGAATGGGTGGCCCCTCTAGATGAGTATAATTTTTTAAATAGCAAATAAATATTCTGTTACTATAATTTTAAAAAAATAATATGCCAATCAAACTTTACGCGATTTTTTATAGCCTCTAAACATACATTATTTATTATTTTTTTAAAGTCACATAGTTACTGCGCAATTAACTTGAGTTGCCAACTTACTGGGATTTAACAAACAGGAAACGGAACTTGGGTAAAACTAAGGAACGTATATGAAACGACGACGGCGATTCCGAAAAATAATTATGAAATTTTTTAAACTTAATTCATTACATAATTATATAATAGAATAAATAATTATGGTGCCTCCTATTCATAAATATTCGTTTTTTCTTTCTCAAGTTTACTTCACATAACCATGTTATTACTCATTTAGTATTGTCATGTTTTGGTGTCAAAATGCTTACCTACCTATAAAGATTATAATGCCAATTTTGTAAATCTAAATATGTATTTGCCTAAAATAAACTTAATTAAGGCTTTTCTATTTTTCCCTTCCTTTTCTTCGGCAATTTTTCTATCCCTTCCTTTAGAATCCATTCATATTACCCAGATATTGCTGCGACCGCTGATGTCACCCCGGCACCTGATCGAAAACCTTCGTCCGACGGTTGAATGTGGGAGGGGTAAACACTATTCCCACTGTTATAACTGTTATTGTCGAAGAGCGACCCAACGTTGTATTGACAAGCCGCCCATATGATTGCCAAGAGAGAGGCCTCGGCCGTTTCTAGAGTTTTCCAAATTTCGTCGTTCTCGATTCGGAGAGACGCCAGGCGAGAAGTTAACTGAGCATGACGAGTGTTGAGCTCCTCGGCAAATTCTGGGACAGCTGAAAAGCTTCCTACCTGAAAAGGTAAATAATTATAGAAATGAATTCTTCTTTCCTTTTCCATGGGGCCATGCCAATTTACAAATTTTCAACTGATCCAATCCGATATTTATTAAATAAAATCTACCTATGAACAAATGTCATATTTTTTATTCTCCAAATATATGGGCAATGTTTACGGCTGAATGTGTTAAACGCCTAGATTTAGCCTCTTTTTTAAAAAAAGAATAAATCAAAATTATAACCAAAATATTATTACCTATGCCTCTAAATTTAAGCAATAGATGTCCAAACCTTTATATCATCTGTGGGCAAAATCTCTAAGCTTAGGTGATTTTTTTCGGCATGGTTATATTTCCAAAATGTAATAATGATTAAATGCCATTTTTTCTCATTTTTGTTAAGCTAATGATAACAAATTAGTTCCATGTTAGATGTACCAAGTAATTTAACAAAATTAATCGATTCGAATTCTGGTAATGCCAATTTATCTGCTAGAAGAGAGAGAAGGAGAAATAGTAAAATATATAAATAAAAACCGAATCGCCTCTGTGATGACGAAAGCCAATTTTGTTTGGCAGTTGGAATGGATTGTTGTAGAGTTCCAGAAATCGCTGCTTATCAGATTTGGAGTCTAAATCGTTTATAGCCTTTAGCGTATCTCTCATACCTTCCTGTCTCGAATTAAGCAGTTTATCTTCCCCCTGTAAGTACAGTTGCAAAGTCCCCGACAAGGATGGAAGAAAGCCTACTGTACTACACTTATTTTTGATGAGAAATGTGAAAATAAATATGTATTTTTATAATAAAAGAAATGTATCCATAAATGTAAAACTATTTTTTTTCCTGTAAATATTTCCGTTTTTTCTTCTTAAAATAGTGAACATATTAAATTTACGCGTTATTTAAAAAATACTAAATAATATATATAAGTTTTCTTTTGATTATGGTTTAAGTATAAATAGTATTCAAAATAATAGATCATTTTTAAAAAAATCTCTATATTTATTACGTCTATCAAATCATTGACATCCTCTTGGAAATACCTGTAGATCGTGGTGTTAGCAGCCGCTAAGCTCAGTAGGTATTCGTTCCTTGACCTATCCAGTTTCAGTTTATTGGCCATGAATTTTTCCTGCCTCTATTGAAAGATAAATATATATATTTAATTATTTTTAAGTTTTTAATAATAAAAATATGAGAAAAGTGTTTTTTTTTAATCTAATATTACATGACGATTTAGAATCGCTAACGTTGCGCACAGCGTATTCATTCTATTTCATTCTTTATATATATATTTTTGGTGATATTTTTTAAAATCATATTTTATAATTTTTTAAAAAAATATATTTTTGTTCCCAGGATTTGTTTTTCCAAATAATTGTTTAGCCTTCCGTAAATAAATATGTATTTATAATTAATTATATGCCATATATTTAGATTCCAAAATATTCTTGAAAATAGTTCATTTTTAGATGTCGAAATACATAGTTTAACGCATGATTTAAATTAATAAAATTATATAAAAACTATGGCGCGTACAAATCGGCCTATAAAATTTTTATGTTTTATAAATTATAAGCTTTAAAATGCGAAATTACCCAGCCCGTTAAAATATTTTTCACACATTGTCTAACCGAAAAATCGTTTTGCCCTAGAAAAAAACCACAAATCAAAATTGCCATATGTAAATAGCAGTTAGTATTTAACTAATTTTTCTTTAAAAATAAAATTTTAAAAAAATATACCGATATTTAAGATTTCTTAATGTTAATGAGTTAGAAAAAAAATTGATAAAGCAATAGTAGGGGCTCAACTATTTAGGAAATATTTTAAAAACTACTTATATTTTCTAGGTATTTTACTAATAATTTAGGGAGCGCAATATATTTTTCAGAGGGCTCGAGTCCCTTCGCTTCCCCCTGGTGACGTTAGTGGTTTAAACTTTCTTATTATTTAAGTTATAATGAAATATTAATATTCGATTTTATATAGGATATTTCTATTTTGCTATATATAAAAATATATTTATTAGCCAATTTTTGGGTAAACATTTATTTAAAAGAAAATTGATTTATTTTATAACAAAAATAAATGTCAGGTGTACAAGGTATTTCTAAATTCAATATTTTTTATATAAAAAATATTCTCATAATTTTGAATTTATCAAAATTAAGGAAATATAATCTTATCCGCGAGGGGTCGCCTTAAATAGAAAACGAACAAAATAATGCGTAAGTGTCTTGAGCAAGAATCTAATTTTTGTTTTTATAATATTTATATTGGTTTCCATTTAAACGTTTAAAGCGGTGCTGTAAACGGCGCTACTCGTTACGTCTAAAAAAGTAACAAGCGTTATTTGTAGTGAAGGTCACGGTCCGGTCTTTGGTCCAGACGGTCCTATGTTTAAAAAACATATTTTTTTTACTTAATTTAATTTGTTTTATATTAAATATAAGAGTATTATATAAACAATATAAAATTAATTATGAATAATATAATAATTAATACAAATGCTAATGTCTTTGTTTGTAGAACTGCCATGGAAGGAATTAGAAGAGGGACTTTAAATTTTTGTTCCTTATAAATATTCTTAAAAATATCCATGCTTTTTAGGATGTTATTGGCATTATCTGTAGTACAGGCCAGTATATTCTCCTCCAATTGATATACATCAATTACTTCTTTTATAGCTAAGGATATTTCTTCAGAAGTATGAGGAAATGGGATATGATTTATATCAAGTAAAATATTTTTTAATGTAAAAGAAGAATCAATATAGTGTGCAGTAATGGCTATGAATGAAATTTTATTTATACTGCCCCACATATTTGTGGTAAAGCTTATTAAAGAATTATTTTTATTTAAAATATCTTTTAAAGAATTTCTTAGTTTCTCAAAATTAGCTGTATAAAATTTTTTAACTTTGTTTTTAGATCAAATTGTAGCAGTTGAGTTTAAATATTTAATTAAATGAAGACATGAACTTTCAAAAGTCTTCATTGGCAGACAGTCCATTATTACCCATTTTATTATTAATTGGTTCATATGTTCAGTTTGAAATTTATCCAATGGTATTGAAGAAAGTGATTTTTGCTTGTGGAGGGCATATTATAATTAAGAGTAGATTGTGTTTTTAAGATATTTTCATTTTCATCATTAAAGGTATATATTTTATGTTTTATCAGATGTCTGCTTAAGGTACCTAATTATTTTATTAAGAATAAGATTAAGTTATTTTGACAATGAATTCTTCAGACAGTTTCTTAAGAAAAAATAGAACTATATTAATAATAACCAAAATATTTTTATAATACTGCTTATTTTGATTAATTTATTTATAAACAATTATTTTGTTACTTGTTGCTGATGGTACATTAAATTTGGTACTGCAGTGAACACAAACTCTATGTTTTTTATTGGGACTATAAGTAAAATGTTTCTTGGACAAACTTATGATTTTCATATTGTAAAATAAAAATTAACAAAATCTAAAATAACTCCTCTAGAAAAATCATAAAATAAAATATACAAAAATTATATTAATTGAATAGTAAAGCAAACTTAAATATTAATAAAAGACCGGTCTGGATTACAGTCCTCAAAAAAAAATCGGTCCGACAATCGGCCCTATCTTGGTCTAGGACCAATAGGACCGGACCGATGACCTTCACTAGTAATTTGCTATTCATAAAAGTAACGCGTTTCTCATTACTTAAAAAATCATATACAAAAAAAACTATATAATAATTAAATAAAATTATACAAAAATACACCATAAGATATTTATTGTAATCATTTATTATTTATTTTTAACAATTGATTTTCAAACTTTTGATCAGATAAACAAGAGCGACACTGCTTTCGCCGTGCTAAAGAAACCTTCACAAGGCGCAAAATATGGAAGGGTTTTATAATATTTAATAAAAAAAACATTTAATTATGGGTATTTATAAAAAATTAAATAAAAATCTTTATTTTGAAAAAAGATCATCTTCAAAAGAATCTTCATCCTCATCAAAAAAAAAATTTTTTTTGATCTTTATCAGAAAATAATCTGGTATGGATTGTTCTTCAAAGAAATCAAGTTTGCTTTTTCTTTGTCAAGATCTTTTCTTAAACCGGAAATAAGTTCAAGTTTTCTTCCTTCGTTGATATTTTTATCCAGGGCCAATCCGATTTAAATAGCGGGTAAATTATTGCTGATAGCATATACTCATCTCTATAGATGTGTTCGAATCTATTGAATATTGAAATATAATCAAAATATAAGTTGTAAACTGCAGAATTGCATTAATAATTGGCTTGCATGAAATTATTTAAAGCCATTTTTTAAAGTTTTAATATTATAATAGTTATTGTGAGAAAGATATCCCAAATGCATTTTTTCTTCGTTCTCTAAAATCGAAAGAGCAGTAGCAACAGGTTCCATAACCTATAAAATCATATATTTTTTAATTAACACTAATCAGACAATATTCATCTATAAACGACTTGACATCATCTGAAAATCTCTGTAATTTGGATTTATCAAGATTAGTCAAATTTGTGACCATTTTCTAATAAGACTATCCATTCATTTCATAAAGTTATAGGTTACAACCGGTTTAATCAGATATTTTCTTCCCATTTTTCCTTAAAAATGGCTGCACAGTTTGAAGCTCCATGCTCATTCCACAATTCAGGTTGAAATTTGAGTTGGGACACAATTTATTGGTGTAAAAAATGTTTCATATTGTGGGGAGAGCAAGGTTAGATAATTTTCATGTTAAGAAATATGTACATTTGATATAATACTTTATAAAATAAATTATAATATTAGAGAATAAGAATATAAATTAACATACCTTGTGTTAATTAGATTAATAATCTTGACTGAATATTTAACAAAGGAAAATCTAAAATAAAAATGAAGGAACTTGGTGGTTGATCTGAATTAAAAACTAGGCTGATTATTTATATAATTTAAAAATATATTAAAATATGATCTTTTCCATATTTTTTTTAATACATTAAAATATCATTTTTTCAATAATTTAAAGTAACGAGTAACGTGTTTTGCTTAAAAAAAATATTCAAAATACCTTTGACGTTACTAAATACTAGTTTAAAGTATCTCCACCCAAGAACCCCTAAACCGTAATTCCGATTGAGTGGATTCATTCCTCAAGTTGTGGTAGATTCCTCCGACTTGAGTCATAAAAATAATCTCTCTTGTAAGAGGCTATTTAAAAAACGAATAACATAAGGGACGACACAGTTAGACATAAATTGTAGTATAATATAATTCGCTAGGTCCTAATTGTACCGCCTGCTCTCTAAACTAGAGAACAATAAACGATCGTCGATGGAATATCCCTCATCTCTTGGCAATTGGGTCTGACCACGCTTATTACTACTCATGCCAGAAAATTCGAAGTACTGAATAATAACGACCGTTCCACAGAAATTGTAGAAACTAATAAAATACTTTTTTCTCATAATTTTATCCAGTTAATTATAGCACCAGGAGTCCCGATTTCTTCATAAAATTTTTAAAAATACTCGGCAAAAAAATTTCCTCACAACACTGGGATAGATACGAAGAGCTTCTATATTCGACAAAAAATCGGAATAGAAGTATGCCGATCAAATGTTATTTCTTTACATGGATGCATGCCCATTAGATGGTTTTTTTAGTGTATAATATAAATAAGTTAAATAAAATACTGTTTAAAACACATGAAAAATATATGAACGATTTTTAAAAAAATTAATCCAGATAAACTATTGGTTGGAACACCTACTAGATGTTACGATCCCAAACGTTCCGGTTTCAAAATTTTTAATCCTAGAGTAACTGGAATGGACGAAGAAAATGCCCTTGTTTCGATCATAGATTTACTCGTTATTTTAAACACTTTTTTAAAATATATTAGTCCTTTTGAGATTCATTTATTTACCTTGCCAGTCTTAGTTATGATTTTCTTTTTCGCTGTCGAGATCTTGTCCTTGATTTCCAGTTTGTTCATTTGGGTCTCGGCCATTTTAAGTTTTTGCTCGGATATTTTGAAGGATGTGTTATATAGGTGATACGATTTCATAGCCTTTTTCAAAAAGTTTTCAAGAAAAATGTATTTATTCATTATATTTTAACCCTGTTTTGGACATGATTTAATCAAAATTGATTTAAATCGATTTTATATTTTCTTTTTTTGCTTGCAAATTTAAACAATGATTTTTTAAATAAAAACATTTCATCAATTTTGCATATAAGTTGTAATTTATTGCTATTATATATATATTGAGTGAATCCTGTAATAAATTTTTTAATATAATAAAACTCCACAAAAAAAAATCATTTCAATTAATAGTTTTAAATTTTAGAAAAATCCTTATAATTATTTCAACTTTAAATATTTAAACTTTAATACTTAATACTAAGAAAATTAAATTATATAAAAATAAAATATTAATTAAATATGGTTATAAAATATTTTCTTAATTGTAATGTATTAAAGAATAAATTTAGCTAATATTAAATGTGATAATTACATTTGATAAAATATTTTTTTCAAAAATTTCACAAATTTAATGTAATAAAATGAATGTGTGTTTAATTAATAACTAAGAATTTTTTTTCAAAGACACGTACAATAAAATATTTTTATTATATTATTAAACTTAAAAATAAATTGATTTTTGACAACCCTATTTTTTTTTATTAAAACTGATTAGTCTGCCAAAATTAAGATGGTGATCGTATTTAGGAGGGAGCAAAATTTTAATATCGCTCGCGCCGAAAAACGCTTTGAGCATACAGTTATCTTCTCAAAGCATCCCTTTTAGCGCGCCAAAATAATAGATAGCGACGCCATTGATATAGAGGATCAAAGGCTAAGCTCTAAACTGTCTTCGATTCGCTTCATTTTTTTTGTAATCGGTCAAAATTCGGTTCGGTTTATCGACATCGGTTTTTGGTCCGGTATAAACCGGGTATTTTATTTTCTAAATACTAATTATTCGTATATATTTTTAAAAAAATTTTTACGGATTTTGCAAAAACAATTTTTTTTGAGCAGATAATGAAATATTCTTATTACCATAAAATAACTTACTTAATTATCATCATACACTTAAAATTACCAAAACAAATTAATATTTATTTTATTTATTTTTTTAAAACTAATCCAAAAGCTAAACAAAATATACATCTTTTAATATGATAACGAAATAAGATAAGTTTATAAGATATACTATATTAAGTATTCTCGACAAACTTCATTTCATTTTTTTTAAAAAAACTAATCTAATACATATATAATTTACAAACACAATTACATTAATTGTATGATGTACAAATATTTTAAAAAAAGTGGAAAAAAACGAGAATTATAGAAGGAAGAACAATTTATAATCCACAGAATTTTCTTTTTTAAAAAAATAGGAATATATTATAATGGGAAAATTAATTAAAAGATATCGTAAAATTTATTTAACTCTCCAAAAACGTAAATTATCATATTTCTTACCGTATTAAGTTCGTTTAGAACCTTGAATATTTCTTCGTGACATTTCAGGCCGATTTCTTTGCACTTTTAATTGTATATACATAATTTACAAAAAAAAATTAGATATAAAATAAATGCGGATTCTTATCTTAAATCAAAAAAATAAAAGGAGAAAAAGAAAATTAGCGAGTTCATAAAAAGTTAGTATGAAGTAGTGTTGTTAATCTCGATTAAAACGGCTAAATAATATTCTGACCATTCGTATGAATGGGTTTGTGGAAATCTGATTAATCCCGAATTCACAATTAGCGCTAATTCGTGGCGAAGTTATACAAAATATAATAATTTTACATTATTTGATGGTGAAGGTTAATAAAGTTTGGGTTTTAATAAATAATAGCAAAAATAGTAGCAAATTATTCGATGTTTTAAAAAAAAGAAGAAAATATAAACTCCGAACCGGAAAATTTTGCAAGTCCGTCTTCTCGCTCTTGAAATAAATAATCATCGATAATTTATTTTATAAAATATACTCGTTTGTGTATCCTTAGATTATCTTCGATGATTTGAGATATACGAGGGGTTATGACTGCTAGGTATAGGTCCGAAATGGCGGAGTGGTCCTTACTTTCTTCCTTGCATCTTTGCAGCAAATTTTGCCAGCAGGCGTAAGGTGTGTACAGGTGCCAATGGTCTCTCCTTTTTTTTTAAAAAAAAAGATTAAATTTATAAAATAAATATACATAATATATTTAAGAAGAGAAGTAAAAGTTGGCCCAAATATGATCTAGGATCTAAAAACATGAGGCGTTGAAGGTTACGACTAAATCTTTCCCGTTCCGCTCAAGCCGATGAAATATTTAGAATCCGTTTGCCCACCCACCCGTTGTTTTAAAAAAGTTTTTTAAACACACATCGGACTAAAACCCTGAATTTGCAGTGTCTGCTAAGTACAGCAGGATATACTTTGGAAAAACCATTTAAATTCCGTTTGAAAACGATATTTTCAAGTTATAACTGTCATAGAATGGAAATATCGAGGGGAACAAGAACAAAGTTTAATATAAAAACATGCAGGTTATAATTTTTTTAAAAAATTATTTTTTTATCACGCAAGGGGGCTAAATTGTATTAATATTTTCTTTTAAAGCCTGGCTGATGAAGTACATTATTACCGATATTTTTTTGTCAGGCAAATAATACATTTGTCATGTTTGCCTGTCACATTCCTTAAAAAATATATATTACAAAAATGTTTTTGTTTTGTATGAGTAATTGTTATAATAAATGATGAATGAAAAAGAATAATTTATCTTAAAACAAAAAATATATTATAATTATAAAATGCTACAACTATTGTCCGAACTCGCCCCGGTCAAAATACGGGTATGAGTAGTTGTCCAAAAATTGTTTACATTTGGTTCATGCTGGCAAAATGGTCAAAAAAATCATTTCAAATTTTTGGATCCCGAATCGGGATTTGAATCCTAACTAACTAGCTTTGCCATATTTTTTAGTCGACATCCTGTATTTTGAGTACTTTATTCGTTGTCCCACCAGAAAAGAAGCAAAAAATGCAAATTATTCTGGTTTCTGGGGGATTTTTTTCAAAATATTTACTCCCTAGTGGTTATATCTATATCTCAGAGACCTGCAGAGGTACTGCACAGCCCGGCCCGTTTTTTTAAAAATGTATTATATTTATTTTTATTTATGAGTAATAATGGCAATTTAAAATATTTTGCTTTAAAATATACAGCCCGACCAGGGTATTTTCCTAAAAAAATTTCTCTGGGCCTGCAAGATTATTTTTTTAGAAAAGGTTTAAGGCCTGGCTCAGGTATATTTTATTACCCGGACTGGGCCGAACGTGGAAGACTCTGATATATCTTTCAATTTTGTTTAACTTTGAATCTCATAATTTATTCTAAAAGATTCATTTTATGAGATGTTTTCTCGTGGGTAAAGAAAAAAAATGGATACTGACAAAGAAAGAAAGAAAGAAAGAAAGAAAGAAAGAAAGAAAGAAAGAAAGAAAGAAAGAAAGAAAGAAAGAAAGAAAGAAAGAAAGAAAGAAAGAAAGAAAGAAAGAAAGAAAGAAAGAAAGAAAGAAAGAAAGAAAGAAAGAAAGAAAGAAAGAAAGAAAGAAAGAAAGAAAGAAAGAAAGAAAGAAAGAAAGAAAGAAAGAAAGAAAGAAAGAAAGAAAGAAAGAAAGAAAGAAAGAAAGAAAGAAAGAAAGAAAGAAAGAAAGAAAGAAAGAAAGAAAGAAAGAAAGAAAGAAAAAGGATGATAAAAAGTTTTAATAAGGTAATTAGAAATGATCAGAGAAAAATAGGGACTTTTTTTGGTTCTTTATGGGTAAAGCCCTGTCGGCCCTATAATTTAAAAAAAATCTGTCAAGATCGTGGATGGGCCTAAATCATAATCGAGAAAAGGTTAAAAAAAGATTGAATTTCCTAGAGGGGTTATAGTTTCAAAATTAATATAAAATATAGGGCTCAGGGTTTGATATTTGTCTTTTTTTCTATTTTTTGTCTAAACGTTTTATATTTTATATCGTTTTATGGTGTTAACATTACTTAGCGCCACTTTGATTTTAAAAAAAATTTAATTATGGCCCATAAATGCTAAATTATCAATTAAATGCGAAATATTGAATAATTAATTATTTTTTAAATTAGGTCCCATTTACCTGACGATCAAGAGCCGTGCTAAGACAACAACCAGTGGAGAAAATGAATTCGACAGTCCAGTTAAACCCCCCCCCCCCCCATTTACTGAAAATAACGAATTAATCCATTTAAAATGGGAGCTAATAAGCAGCTTAGAATATTGAAATAGGTCATATTTGTAATGCTGTACTCGCGTTCAACGTTTTAATAATAATAATAGAATATGTTTCCCGTTCAACGTTCATTTACATATTTTTTTAAAAAAAATAAAATAAGTTCATTCAAATCTATTATATTTTTTTTATAAATGCATTTAATATTTTATTAGAAATAAATGTCAAATAACACTTATGTTAGTTTAGTTTAGCCGTTGAATTCAATTAGTTTAATTTTGTATAAAAATATATAAAATAATTGTAAAAAATTAATATAATGTTTAAAGTCAAACGACTAGATTTTTAAAAACGGCTAACCCGATATTTTAGGACCAAAAAAGTTATGCATGCTTCGAGATATTGTTTATAGATTTTCAAGCCATTCTGCTATCTATGCAAGATCTCCGTGCTTGCCTGATATTTTTGGCCTAAAATATGGTTTTTTCAGATTTAAACTCTAGAGAAGGTAGTCCCGAGGTGTAATAATTTTTTCTTAGGCCACATTTAAAAGAGCGTATAGTTCAAGCGACACGTTCTATAGCTATAAATTATAAATTATACCTAACTTTTGAAAAATACACAGCGATACTTGCTTATAAATGAAAATATTTTAGGAATCAATAAATATATCAATTTTTTTAATATGAAATATAATACTCTTTTTGGCATTATTTTATGCAATCTATTTCTATTAAAATAATTATATTTTCATACAATCAACCATGCTATTGTGTTTTATGTTTTTTATATAGAACGATTTTGATCATGAAAATCTATCTAATTGAGATTTTAGAAAAAAAAATTTTAGAGAAAATTTTCTTTTTCGAGGGGAATAACTCCTGCTTGACTGAGGCTCGGGAGGTAATTAGCCTCCAAAGGATTAACTTTAAAAATATTTATCTTTTATTTCCACTATATTAAGCAAAGACCTGCAGAGGTACCATTTGCACGACACCAGGCTAGCTCCGAATATAGCTAATAATGGCGATTTAAAATATTATACCTTAAAATATAAAAAAAAAATTTTAGGCCCGTCCCGGGTATATTCTATGATTTTTATATTTATTTATAGTATAATATGTGTAGTAACATAAGGCAAATTTAATCTAATAACATCAAAGTTAAAATAAATTATTTATGGAAATTAATTAGGCTTTTCTTAAAACACAAAACACTTATTATTTTTAAATCTTTTTTCTCCTAATTTTCAGCTATGGCCTGCTTTTTAATATATTATAAATCTGTCGTATTGGAATATGGCCATTTGTCGAGGGCGAATTTTTTTGACCGGAAATGTATTCCAACATGTATAGAGAGCATCGACATTCTAAATTTAAGACAATTTTGGCTATAACATTTAAAATATTTTTTATAATTTATATCAACTTTATAATATATTTTTTTTAAAAATGGAGATAATTCTCTGAAATTTATAGGGTAGGTATTCTACAGAATGCAGGAATGTATTTCCGGTCAAATCAGATTTTTCAAATTGTAGAAATTTTCCTCGGCAAATGATATAAAATTAAGAGATACCGAATCCCCATGGATTCCATATCCCAATCAATGATGATATATATATAACACTAGATTGACAAATCATTCATTAAATGCATTTAGGTGTCCATCCATGTGGAAGTTAGCTGTTTGCAAGTCAATTAAATGATATAAACGTGCATTCATATCTTGATAGACGTACACACCACAAAATGTCGCTATAGATGATTCGTATATTATGAATGGACACCTTTGATAAATAACCTCCTTTCTAGTAGAATATATATATCATTGATTACAATATGTCATATATATTTACATTTACATTTAGATATTTATTCTTAAATTTATTAAAGGTGTTTATAACCAGTATGGAATAATGATAATTCATTTTTAAAAAATATTGACGAGTTTTCGGATGTGCGTTGGTAAGAAATAAATTGCAAATATATATAGATTTTTGTCAATGCTCTTCCTAGCGATGCATGTAAAATCACTCCATTTGAGTCGATTTTTATTTTATCCAGAAAAAAATATTATGCAAGCCTGAAGATTTTGCTCATACAAGGTACAAAGGTTTGGACATCTATTAGCGAAATCTTGAGGTTTATGAAATATTTTTTTTTAGTTAAAACTCAAATGGTATAATTTTACATCACTACTTCCTACTACGAGATTAGGTTATCAATATAATACTTAAAAAAATGTATATCATTTTATAAAGGTAAATTTTCTAGTATATACGCTTAAAATTTTTATTAATTTTTTAAAGCTATAAAAATGTCTTTTCTTGAACGAAATATTAAATGAAAACTCCGTAATTAATTTTAATCTAACCTTAAGGTTAATTCCGCAAACAAAATTTAAATAGCAAAATAACGATTATAGAAAAGAGAAATTAACAATTGCTTTTCCTTTTCTTATATTTAAAATTGTGGATCAATTTTTTTTTCCTCCTTTCTTATCAATTCGTGGCATGACTTAATGTAAGCCATTTTTTTTTTAAATTTAAAGTATGAGAGTTTGTATCGATTCTAAAAGTATCGGTGTGACCCTGCCTAAAAAAAAGTATATGTAAATTAAGTATATTTAAATTTAAAAAGACGCAAACTTGTTTTTAATAAATAAATTATTTCCTTAATCCTTGAAATAAATTATGAAAAATAAAATAATTGCAAGATTATTTTTAAAAAAAATTCTTAGAGTTTTGAAAAAAATTATATTCAAAGATTTTTTGGAGATACATGTCCCAAAATTATGAGCGAAAATCTTTGAAGATAACAAAATTGAAGATTTTATAAAGCAGATCAAAATCACTTTTTTAAAAAAAATTAGTGATTTAAAAATAATAAAAGATACACATAAAATCATTTTCGGTATTTGATGAAAAAAACTTGTTAGAGCATTCTCCGAAAAAATCTTCCGGGGGTTAAAATCTTTGAAGATTTTTATTTTGAAAAGTAATTCATACTCTATAATCTCAACTCTCAAGTCTTAGCAATTAGACAGTTTTATGTATATATAAAAAATTGATTTTAAAAGTTCAACCCGATAATATATTTTTGAACATTATACGAGACCCGAACAATTTTAAAAATTCCATAATTATTATTTTTTTATTCATTTGTTTTATTTACAATTATTTATAAGAATAATATCTATAAAGAAAAATATTAAAATTAAAATTTAAAATTGTATAATATATTATGGATTTTATCAATCGATTGTGTTCCCAAAAAGGAACCATAATGATATTTTAAAATTTTGATTTTTTTTTGGTAGTATATTTTTTATTTTTAAAAAAGCGATTTCATTTTTAAAAAAACTAAATACAAATATGAACAATATCAAATTAAAAATATATTTAAAAAATAAACAAATAAGATAAAATATATATCTATAAATTTTATCTAGAAAACCATTAAAAAAGAACTTTAAAAAAAAGATTGCACATCAACTTAGACAGAAGTGATTGCTTATGTAAGTGGAGGCAGATGCTGACGAATGTAGAATCCTTGGTCGCCTGTGATCTGTCTCATTTTTCCCCTAAGGTTTTAATGAAATTAAGGGTCCCACTTCCGAAATTGCCTAAGGTAGGTATTGGTAAAGATTAGTATGAACACTGTGTTGCTGAGGCCCACATATTTGTTTTTTTAAGGACTTTTACTTTTTCGATGGCAGAAAATGAGAAATTGGACTTTTCTATTTTTCTTTTGTCTAAAGACTTTTTATAAATTTAAATTTTATATGCGAAAAAAAGCCGCTAGTGGATGTGACTATTGGAATGAATATAAAATTGGCAAGTATTATATAATTGGCCCTGTTTTGTAAATTGAAAATATGAGCACTTATTTTTAATTTTTTTTAAAAAAAAATCCGGCCCAGCCCGGATTTCGTGGACAGGGTATATTTTTTAGAACATTTTTACGTACCGGCCTGTACATCCGGTGGCAAGCAGGACTTTGGGTGCAGGCTTTCGCTGTTTTTTCTTTCCATCTGATAATAATATTTGATATCGGGGATTAAGATATTAGACATGCAGGAGGGCCCTTTTTTAAAGAGTTATCTCCCTTGATTTTATGGAAGAAATTAGCAAAAGCGGTAGTAAGGTTTCTTAATTTCAATCGTGCATTTATGCGCTTCTTCCAGCAACGTGTTATTTTTTCTCAGCTTTACATCATTTATTTTGAGAGTATTTTTTTTAATTTTAAAAAATCTTATTTTACCGGAAATGTATTCCAGCAAGTTTAGAATACCTATCTGATGATTTGTTGACAATTTTGCCGGTAACGTTTGAGTATTTTATAATTTATATTTACATAAAAAATTTAAGGGAAAACTAATATAAAATTATAAGTTCAAAAACTTATGTCAAAATTGTCTGAGATTATAGTGTAGGTATTCAGAATATGATAAAATCCATTTACGGTAATTTTTAAATCTTAAAAAACACGCTCAAAAATTAATCTATAGTTAAAAAGTAACAAATTGCAACTACCATATAATGTATAAATATATGATATTAATAACTTTAAAAATTGCATGGCATAGATATATGCTAAAGAGATAAGATAACAATAGATTTGACTAACTCTATTAAAAAAAATTTCTACAAAAGGGTATCTACTTTATAAAAAAAATAATAAATTATATAGTTCGTTTTTTGCAGTTCCTTTCTACACTCTGGTTTCATCGAATCAATCATAATCAAATGCAAACTAAAAAATAAAATTCTAGTAATTATATAAACCTATTATTTATATCCACGAAAAGTAGACAATAATATCTTTGCCTTATAATTACCCCAAGAGTTAATTTGCAATTTTGTTAGCTAATAAATAAAAATCCACTAGTTGGCATATTACATAAAGATTAATAAGTTTCTAAATAATTCCATTGTTCTAAATTTTTAGTAAAAAGGTGGCACTAGTGTTGTTAAGCGGCTCATTTTGAGCCGATTTTTCAAAACCGCTAACTCAAAATTTAAGGCAGAAAAGTATTGTAGACCTTTGATCCTTCTATGAGCAAAATCTTCAGGCGGCTTGCATAATATTTTTCTGGGTGAAATATTGAATTAGCCGTTTTTAAAAATTCAAAACGAACCGTTTAACAACACTAGGTGACACCCTAAAATACACTCACCCTCGTTCCAAAACTAAATGTTAGCCTAATATTCTAATATAGAATTACCACTTTTTAGCTGATGAGGCTTTTTACTAACAAAATTATTTATTAAAGCCCACCTTGACAAATATATTTTAGGTGTATAATATATATATATATCGTCGTTTTATATAATAATTTTATTGAAGTTGGAATATAGCAGTATCAACGGTAAGATGCTTTTCTCTTGCAGAGAACCAGAAAGACGCCATGATGTTTATATAATATAGCTTTAAAAATGTTGCTAGGCCTTTGAAAGTAATATATCAATCTCTCAATTTTAGCTATTCACTAAAAAAGATCCAAAAAAATTGAAATCGTATTTTATGGCAAATGCTAGTATGATCTTAGAGTGACTAATATTATGAAATATCTCTGGTGATCTAACCTTAAAGGTATTTCGTTTTTAGTCGACGTGTCAATCAAGAATGATTCAATGAGCGAATGAAATTTTAATCTCTAGCTTAAAGAGGTCCGAAGACATTTTATGCAAACAATTTTTCGAATCGCAACTATTCAAAATTTTCAATTTAAACCTTTTTATTGGTAACGAAATAAAAATAAAGATCGCGGGGCCCCTATTTATTAGTTGAAATGCGGATGTCCAAAATTTGACAGTGTCACTCACACGTGAAGACTTTCTCGACCACAAACACTGAAGGTAGTAAGCTCGAAGATATCAGCCATCCATCAATCATGTCATGATGTCAAACAAATAATTTTAAGGCGAACCCTATCCCTTTTTCAAACAACTGATAACATCTTCTTTTTTTTAAAGAAATACCCAAAATAAAATAATTAAACTTTTTATGAATTCAAAAATAATAGATTTAAAGATTTAATTTCCTTTCTTAACCATCGCATTCCATTTCCACTTACAGTTCAAATCCTTTTTTCTTTATATATCTCATTTTAACTTTGCTTTTCTTTTTCTTCTTTTTTTTTATCATAATTTTTTAAAGTTTTATTTAATTTTTTTATATATATATTTCTAAAACAAGATATATAATATCAGAATACAAATAATAAAAGGAGAAGAAGAAAAATCATTAAAAAATATTTATATATATTTTTAAGTACTTGTGTTAATTAGCTTTTTATTTTTTAAGTTCTAATCATATTGTAAATATATAAGAAAGGGGGAAAAATCGATAAAAATTTTAAAATAATCATTTAGATTTTATACCCGTAATAAACTTGAATATTTTATCAAACAAAAATTTATTTATAGAGGAAAAACCAATATTATTTAACAACAATGGTTAGGTAGGTCTTTTGTCTCATTTTTTTTATCAATTCTGAATAGAGCATTCTATCAGAAAAAGCTTGGAGAGGCTTATTTTGGGTTTGTTTTTAAAATATTATCCGCCCTCCCCCCCAACGCGTTAATTTTTTATGTTACTACTTATTTTAAATTTAACCTCATTATAATGGCCAAAACGTAAGAACCTTTGAGTGCTAGGCCATCATAATAAGATTTTATACGGAATAGAAAGCTCCAAGCCCCCGGCCTAATTCAAAACCCGGTCCCTAAAAACATTTTTAAGAATCCAGGGACAGGATAAATAATGGAATTATGGAGTAAATATCTAATATTTTATTTTAATATCAACTTGGATTTTTCGTTGCGATGTCTTAGTTGAATATTTCGAACCATTTTGTCGAGGCTCCTGGAGTATTCCATTTCCAGCTCGGATCTTTTCTTGAAAAAATCCTGAATCTCCGATAAAATGGCGAATTCCGTTTCGACTTTCAAATCCAAGCATTTGAGTTGCTCATTCAATTGGGTCCTTAAATCTAGGATAATATTTAGACTAAGTTAATTATTTATAAATAATTTGCCAAAAAAATGTCGAGTAAATAAATGATGGAATCTAAAATTTCTAAATTATTATTCCATAATATAAATATTTTTTTAAAAGGGGGATCTAAAAGAGTTAAGACATCAGGGGTGAGGGGGGGGGGGAGTGTTTTACACCAAGAAAAGAGGTCCCCAATCCCAATTTTTAATTACAGATATAGAAATTGACGCACGCAAATTCCGCATTCAAAATATGTAAACAAATAAGAAAATTTGATTAAAAAATCTTGAATCTACGAGCCCCCCCCCCTCCCATAAGAAGCTTTTAACTATTTTGAAAAATAAATAGGCAGCGATTATTGACCATAAGTGTTAGGCCGCGATGTCCTAATTGAAGCGCATACGCGTTTTTAATTTTATATATTTGCTTGTGACAAAAAAAAAGAAACATTCATTATCTTTGACGACGGCACCCTTGGACTTATTTCTTATTATTATATTAAATTTAAAATATTGCTCACTTGGTTAACACGTAAGACCCTGAAGCGATGTGGATTCGGTCAAAATATACACTCCATTTCTTAAACTTTTTATTCCATTTCATCTTTGGGTATTTTTGGTAAAAATGCGCCTTTTTTTTAATTTCTCATTTTTAAATGGAATAATATTAATTGCTAAAACTGATCTTTAAAATTAAAAAGCATGGTTAGAGAAAGATTAATATAGTAAGAATCAGAATTAGGGAAATTTATGATTTTTCCACCATAAAAGTAGTAATTACTGGTCAGATGGAGGAATGGGTGACGCAATAATTACAGGAAACCTTATAATAATAACTAAGATAGTTATTGGCTTTAAATCGAGGGTTGCCAGAAGAATTTTTCCCCGCCAAAATTTAGGATAACCATGCATTTTTTTGTAAACTTCGCCGCGAATTCGCGCTAATTGTGAATGCAGGGTTAACAAGAAAAAAACCTTCCAAGTTTAGTAGGAGGTTGGAGGGATTTTGATTAAGGGGCAAGAAATGTGTAGATGTAGAACATAAAGAATCCGTATAAAGATGTTTGAGATTTGGGAAGTCACGTGACAACAGTACTCTGCAAATTAGATATATCCCAAAAATAAATACAAACACAATTTAAAGGTTAAAGAAATACATTTTTGTTAGGAAGTAAAAAAAATCAATCGAAGCATAGGCCAACCAATCCCACAATATAGGCACCAGGAAGATGATACAAAAAATTTGAATTCCACTCTTTATCTAGAAGTTTTTAGAGTTATTTGGCTTTTCCCATTTAGTATAACTATCGCCCCACCCCATGGACAAAACGATTTTTTTGCGGATATTTTAGAGCGCTTAGCATTTCCCAAATGTAAATTACATTTTGCACAAATTAAACAAAAATCACAAGACATCGGGATATCATAACCTTCTCTTTTGTCAGTAAATTGTCACGTTTTTGCCGAATTGTATTCAGCAATTTGTTAGTCTCCCTGACCTATAAAATTGAGACCATTTTGTCGCAAATTTTAAAATCATCTTTAACTTTAATTCAATTTTTCCTTTATAAAATTACTCCAAAACTTTATGGCAAATAAGCTAAAATTCATAGGGTATTACTATAAACTTTGTAATTAAAAAATCCGCTCCAAATATAAGTTTCTCCATCCATCTTCATTACGACGTGTATAAACGTATATGTATACCGTACCGCGGTGATCGTTTTATAACTAATCTTGATTTGAGTATTTGACGTAATTCATATTTTTTAAAAATGGAAATAAAATGTCCTAAACAATTATTGGACCTCGAAATGATTCTATTTTAAAAGCCTTGATTCCATAACAGCAAAAAAAGGATACAATTAATAAAATATGAGTGTTATAAAATCTGCTAAAAATTGGTAATGTCAATAAATGTCATAATCAATTATTTTCTATAATTCATAAGTAATATCATTAAAAATTTTAATAATTAAACAAATATAGTTAAAGAGTGTATTTTAAAGCAGTATTGTAATCATAGACCTGCCATAAGTCAACAAAATTTTTATCTTAACTCGAATCTTAAAAAATATATATGTTCAGACCCGACCAGGTTTTTATTTGTGATCAATTTACACCCCATACCCGAATTCTTAAAATTTTGTTAATTTGAATAATTTGGGACTATTTTACAAAGTGTCGTATTTTACCGAATCCAAACTCGCTCATCATTTCAAAGAGAAAAATGAATCGAATAGTGAATTATTGGGTATTAGATTCGTTTAAGCAAATCAAATAATTTATAAAAAAAGGTAAATGATAAAAATTAATAGCGATGAGACTTAAAAAGAAATCTTATCAAGCCTAGCGGAAAAAAAATAATAATCTGCTCAGGCTGGAGGTCATTTCGTGTCCCTGGCTTCTGTAATTTATTTAGCCATTTTATTCTACCCATTTCGCGTGCAGTTACCATTTTTAATGATTTACGACACATCGTTTCTTTCATTTTCTGAAAGTTATTTTTAAACTTTCCCCACTAGTCCGTCCCACCAATAAAATAAAATTTGAATAACAAAAAAAACGCTAAAGGGTTATATAAATATCTAAATCTAAATAATCGATTCCATAGAGAAAAATATCCGACACCCACAATATATTATTCCGATCAATTCTCTAATCCATCTTAAAGCGTGATGACAGATGTCTCGCCCCCCCTCCTCCCAAATTCATATCGTTTTTAATTGGTTTGTTCTTTAATATTTTTTTAAAAAAAATAAATTAAATTATTTAAGAAAAATATGCACATATTACACTTTAAAGCTGGTTATTTTAAAATATAAAAACTTGAGCAGAATTTTTAAAAAAACCTCCAAAATCCTGCTAAAATCGAGAGAGGGTATACACCTTCCGCCATTTGTCTTTAAAGGATATATACTAGACAGAACTAAAAATAGATCTCAAAATTAGGAAGGATAATATGGATTTTAAAGGTTCAAATTTGACAGGCTTTATATTTGCTATTTAAAATTTTAATTTTTTTAAAAGTATTGATTGGATATCGATTCCGATTCCAATAAAAAAATAGATATTATTTTTCTCTCCCTTATTTATTTATTTGATCAAAACAATAAATTCTCGACATTTGTTTGAAAACACTAATGAAGAACTATTTATTTTTAAAAAAAAAACTATATAAGAATTTAAAGGTTCATTATCAATTATCAAAAAAAAATGTTTTTTATTTTGAAGATAATAGAGGATAGCGGATAGATAACATGAACAAAGATTAAAGAAAAAATATTGGGTAAAGATAGCAAAGATGAGTTTTTAATTATATTTTTAATATAATGGTGCAAGCCAGATTATGGTGGAAGTTAATCCTAAATAATTAGCATAATAAATTTTGAAGTCTACAAAACACCTTTAAGTTTTCTATAATGTAGTTATCAGTAAAAGTTACTTTTGAAATGTAACTACAGTAAAAAAAAATGAAGAAAACTTAAAATTGTCATTTTAAAGTTTAAATAAAGATAACAAGAAAGTCAAATTTTGACTTAAAAATTCGATCGAAGGACTAGGATATGCAGACGGCCAATTTCGTAAACTTATTTATAATCCTTAGGTAAATGAATGAAAATGTTGTATTACATAATTAAATATTGTGCAAATAGTTAGGAATGGGAACAATACCAAACATATTAATGGTTTACAATACCAATATATAATTAAATACGAATTAACTAAATATATTGGTTTGATATATTGTTTAAATACAATATAAAAAACCAACACCAATATTAAAAATAGAAATATATAATATTATTTGGTTTTTTCGTGGATCATTTATAAACGGACCAACGTTGTTCACTAGATGAACATATCATCCAAGCTTGCCCTGTGCCTAAAAGGTTGGATGCGCATGCAGGGTCCTCTTAAAGTCATAAAATTACTTTACCTTATATTAAATTTCCATCAATCTTTTGCGCTTGTTTTTTATATAAATAGACAGTTAGTGATATTTTAGTTTACTCATTTTGCTATATTTTGGTGTATAGATTTGTTGATACAAAAAATTATATATATTATACAAAAAAAAATTATTCACATCACTTCATAAATTCCAAGTTTAAAATAAAAGAATTTGTAATTCAGTAAAAAAAACAGTAATGCATTCATGATTTTTTTTCATGCTTATTTAAAACTACAAATTACGTGTTTTTTAAATCACTATTTCAGATCTTTTAGTTATAATATATTTAAACCAATACTAATATATGCACCAATATAAACCAATACCAATACAAGAAATAGAAAATATTGTTTAAACCAATACCAATATTGTAGACCCAATATCAATATAATATTTCGTTAATCTTGGGTTCTTAATATTGGTCCTCAGCCCTAAGAATAGTGGAAGAATATTACACATGAAAAAAAAATGTATCATATAAAATAAATTACTGTATTCAGGAAATAATTTAATTTGATAAACAATTAAATTTTTGAAAAATTATAATCTGATAATACGTTATTTATGGTCGATGAGAAAAAAATAATAATTTCTTTCTTTTATTTTTTTGTACACAGAAAGAGGGTTTCTATTTTACTGGAGGATTCATATTTCTACATTGGCCTCCAATAAAATCCGTTCTATCTGAATTTGGCTTTTTAAGAGTTGTGTGTGTTAGACAAAGAAATACTATGTTGAGAATAATTAATTTAGTTAAAGATAATATACAATAAATCTAATTACTGTAAAACACAATTGATTAATATAAAATAAATTTATTTAAGATATAATTATCAAAAATATAAAAATTGAATAATCATAATGGTAATTTTTTGATTTTTATATCATGCTTTACATATCTCAGAGACCTGCAGAGGTATCATTTGTACGGCCCGGCCCAGATTAAAAAATTTTCGGCCCGGCCCGGATTTTTTTTCCAAAAATTTTTTACGGCCCGGCCCGGCCTAGATTTTTAAAAAAAATTTATTTAGGCCCAGCTCG